GAAACTGAGGCACAGCCACAGGCCTCAGGGACTGCTCTGTCCCAGCTCCATACCCAGAGCTGCCCCACACCAAGGTTGGGGCTGTGCTGGGAAGCAAACACAGGCACTCGGGAGCAATAAACCACAGGCAAAGCCCTTGACCCCCTCACCTCCTCCTGGAAAAGCAGAAGTGGAGCCATCCTGAGCCATAAATCCACACCTTGTTTAATGCCAGTTAGATTGTTTTACACAGACAAGTCACAACGTGCTCGCTGTGGGGTTTGTCCCCACCTTACATATAACAATGCCCCACGGCCAAGACTTCACAACCCAGACTCAAGGAGGCCCCTTTGCTCTGCCCTCAGCCTGTGCACACATGGAACACACAACAGCATCCCAAGCCCCAAGGAAGCACCTCTGGTGGGAAGGAGGTTGTGCCAGGTCCATGGGAACAGCAGGAGGAGAGGAGCCAACCTGCTCCCAGTGCAGCTCCAGAGTGAGACGTGGGATGTGGAAGTCCCTGATGAGAGAAGAGCCTGATGCAGGGACAGACACACAAGTGGCTGTTCCCTCTCGGCAGCATCCCACCAGGCTCGGCTCCCTCCTGCTCCAGAACACATGAAGCCACCTGAATGTTGGGATTTCAGCAGAAGGGAACCCACAACAGACATGAAAATCCACAGCAACAGCTACAACCACCTCCAGCCCTGGTGCAAACACCCCCCAGGCCCAACTGCTGCCCAACAGGGTGACATCAAACAGGAGAGAAGCTTGGGGCAGCCCATGTCTTGCTGCATGGGCTTCAAACCTGCTCACCGAGTTAATTTTAACTCCTCCTCAGTGCTTTGAGTGCTCCTTCCACACGCTGGAAGTTTTAACAGTGCCTGTGAATGTACCACACAACAAGAGAGGGGCTGGGAGGCCATGGGATGGTTTTGAAACCAAGCCCCATGCCCCAGCACTACACTAAAGTCATTGTGTTGAAAAGGTGGGTCCGAAATCACTTTGACATGACATTCTGGAGGCAGGAGAGGCTGTAAGACCACAAGGTGGCTGCCAGGTTGGGCTGTGGAGACTGGGTGCTGCCAGCCTGGCACACGAGGGCCTCACACGTACCTGTGACGTGCAAAGGGAGCACCAAAAGCCTGATCCAGGCACTGGTGAATGGCACCCATAGTCAAGGCTGCAGTGAACAGAGCAGCACCTCGCTGCCCTTCTCCGTGTGGAGCTTCCTACACATCCTTCCTACACCAAGGATACTGGTGGCACTGGGGAAGAGACAATCACATCCCTACTACAGCCCAGTGCAGAAGAAGGAAAAGGAAGAGAGAAACGTTATCACCTATGCAATCTACAGAGAACAGGTCAAGGTCTATATACACAGCCAGGAAAATCCAACTGGGAAGATAAAACAGCACTTGCATCCATCCCGGTGTGGCAGGGAGAGCATTGGCACATGGGCAGAGCGAGAGGGGAACACACTGCTGCAGGCACAACAGATTCTCTTTAAATTAAAAGCAACACAGACACACAAGTGCTTTGCAGCACAGCCCATGGCTCACCCCAGGCTCACCAGTGGGCACTCTCTTCTCATACAACTTAAACCCCCACAACAACCCCCCAAAACCCCAACAGTAGGTCCCTGGCTTTGACCTGGGGGGTTAGAAAATAAAGCAACACTTCTTGCTTTAGAAAAAGAACCCCTGTTCTTGTTCAGACGTGGGGTTATTCCCCCGCTTCCAGCCAGAAGAGGCCATTGCTCTCTCCAAAACAACCCAGATCCACACGAGTGGTTTTGCTTCACAGACACATCTCAACTGCTTTTGTCCTCAGGAAGACTCCAGAGCAACCAGCCTGCCACAAACAGCACTGTGGGGAGCTCCACGTGCACAGTGGTTATTGGTTAGGTTTCTTCAAGCCACTGGTTTTTCTCTCTGTTAACTAAAAGGATCAGCCCAGAACATGCAACAGCAATTTCAGCACTTTCTGAATATGCTCCCTCCATGATGGAGCCTCTTCAAGTCTCCTCCAAAGCTGAGCCCCCCAAATGGTTGGTTTGAAGGCAGCTGTCAAGCATGCCTGAAACAAAGAAAAACACAAGCTGGAATGATCGTATCGAGTCACAGCAGCCCCGGAGAGCACAGGGAAAGAAACAGTTCTCCAGGTTCTTCCTGTAAGGGGGGTGCCAGGCGACGAGCCTGGAATCCAGCCCTTGCGCATGAGCGGTGTTGAACTGGTCTGGCTGGCTCCCACCTCCACCGATGTCATCCAAAGGCAGCAGGACCCAGAGCAGCACGTTAAAGCCGTTCCTACAGAGGCAAAGATGCTCTGGTCTCTCCCAGGAGGGGACAAAACAGCAGCTGGTTCCATCTCAATGGTCCATGTCACACGTGGTTTCTCCAGTACACAACGTGAGGGTTGGAGGATGCGGGTTTAACATTTCTCTTGCACCCTTTTATGAAGGATGAATCCATAAACCTTTGGCAGTTCCCTCCCCTCCCCAACCCCATCCCAAATACTGCCCAGCATGGTTCATAAGCATGTATTTAATTAGCATCTCTTGGGTCCGTCCTCCAGTCCCATTGGCACTCCCTCCCCTTCTGGTGGATCGTTTTGGGGGTCCATGCACACCAAGGTAGTGGTTTCATCCTGGTATGGCAGACTGCAGCCTCCTGGGTCGCAGCCCGGGGGGTTTATCGTATCCTGGTGAAGAGGTTGAGAACGGATACTGACTCCTAACAAGAGAAGACAAGGCAGGGGCTAAGTACTGCAGCACTATTCCATCTGCCCTTTTGGGTTTGCAATGAAACAGCTGCTGCTCTGGTGAGGTATTACCAGCTCGGGGCACAAGCTGAGCTCAGCACAGTCCACCACCATCAACATTCCCATAACAAGAAGCACAGCAGGTAAGTGAGCCATTCCCACAGCTCTGCAGGCAGCTGTACCCCAGTGACCACCACCAGCTCCCCCAGCTCAGTCCTGCTCTCTGACATCCCCAACTGCCTCTGGCAGACACCCAGCAAAGCTCTCACAGCTCTGGCACAACACTTTCGGGGAAGGTGTGTTGTCAGCTGCAGCACCCACGGCCCTATTCCCATCCACGCCACCATTTTAAGGAGCTTTGGAAGGAGCCAGGGAATAATGATCCCTGAGGACCAGGCCAACTCATCACAGCATGCTGGGAGGGAAGATGGTGGGCTGAGGGTGAGCTCCCCAAAACGCTGCTGTGTTCAGCAGCCCTGTAACAGCCAGAAGGATGTCCTGTCCCTCTGCCTCGGGCACACAGAGGCAACCTTTATATCTCAGCAAAGCCTAACCCTTCACAGCATCCAGCCCTCAATGTGCAGGATATGGTGTCAAGATCAGAGGCAAGGCAGCGGAACAGAGTAAGCTTGGCCTGAACTGACCCCCAAAGGCAGGATAGAGCTGCAGCCATGCACACAACACACATCTTCACCTTTGTCGAGCGAGTTTTGCTGAAGACGTTCCAGAAGCGCAGGGTTTCGTCTCCGGCTCCTGTGACTATGGCCTCCCCATCAGGGGACATTGCCTACGGCCAAGAGAGAGCAACCTTTAGCATCTGCTTCATTTTTGAGGTTGAAAACAAATCTTCATTGGAATGCAAGAGAGATTTAACTCTCCTTTCTACTTGGTGAGAAACCAAATAACTACCTCTGCTTTCAGGTGCTGTGTTCAGTCTCAGTAGGTGCCAGTTCAAGCACTTGCATGTTATTTATGCAGCTATGGAACACACGGGTAGAATTATCATAAAAAGGATTCTTGTGTTAGGAACTCCAAGCCATTTGTAATTAAGGCAACTCCTCCCCACATTCTAAATATGTGTTAGGGCAGGAAGTGTGATAGGACTGGCATTTGCCAGCTCTATTAGTCACTTTGGTTGGAATCCACCTCAGAAAACAGTATTTGCCTATTTATCATCTCTGTTATGAATCCAGCACCGAAAGCCCCGTGTAACAGTAACAAAGCAGGTATGGGATCGATGGGGATTAACTACACCAAGCATTTTAATGACAAATTAGGAAGACTGAAAGCATCAAATTCTTCCCCTGCTGGCAGGCACCAGTGAAAAAGCGTACGAGTCTTAAGGGAACAAAAAGAGATGCTTCTGCTTCCTTAGAAGAGTTTTGGCAGGCTTTGCTATTCATTAATAAAACCTCACATTTCCATAGCAGCAAATGAAAGTAACCCTTGCAGGCAAGGAAACCAGATCCAAAACATTTTCCATTGCTCACAGGGCAGCATTCATATCTCCACGTAGACTACAGGCAGCTTACGGTGCCACTGGCACTGGGGCTTTGGGTCTCACCTCCAGCACAGAGAGGAGCCCCAGCGAGATGCTTTATCTGCAGCCAGATAAAGCAGCTACAGAAGTTAAAGAGGTTTTCAGAGACGTGGCCATCACTCACCAGATACAAGACTCGGTACGAGTGCCCCGTGAGCTTCGCTACTTGAGTTAAGGAGGGGTATTTCCAGACGAGGATCTGGTTCTGTGAGTAGCCGTGGGTACTCACCTGGAAGGGGAGAGGCAAACGTGCATCAAGCTTCCCAACAGGAGACAGCTCAGCAGCAGGACTGCACAGGAAGGAACTTACCAGCTCGTTGGCATGTTTGGACCAGGCCAGGTTGCACACTTGTGACCCGGTGTCAATGCACTGCAAGGGCTGCCCCGTGAGCGTGTTCCAGAAGCGTATGCAGCGGTCAGCGGTGCCTCCGCCAGAGGCGAGGAGCCCATGTTGGTGTGGAGACCAGGCAATAGCTTTTACTGCTGCCAAATGCTCGGTGTACTGTTGGACAGGACTCAGGCTGGAGTGATTCCAGACAAGGAGCTGGCAGAGAGGAGAGACGTGATCAAACTTGCACTGCAGTGGGTGTTAAGGGCACACGACAAACCACGATGTTGCACTGGGACCGATGAGGGCAGTTGAGCAACAAGATGGTTTCCCACAGCCTTGCCCAAGCACATGCATCTCCACTCTGCACTTGGCAGCCCTGGAGCCAGTCCTACCCTGCCACCACCTCAGCTGAGGAGCCGTTCTGAGGGCCACGGTCACAGAATCCCAGCCTGGTTTGGGTTGGAAGGGACCTTAATGCTCCTCCAGCTCCAACTCCTGCCACCGGCAAGGACACCTTCCACTAGAGCAGGTTGCTTCAAGCCCCTGTGTCCAACCTGGCCTTGAACACTGTCAGCGATGGGGCAGCCACAGCTTTTCTGGGCACCTGCATTAGCAGCTCAGCCCTGCACTATTTTTGCTAGTAAGGACCACAGCAGCTCAGCTTCAATGCTCCAAGTGAGTCTGTCTCTCAGGATGAGTGCTGAGGGTTTAAGGTAAGCTTAGGAAGCCAAAGACATGCCATCACTAAACATGACTCAAAGCCTTCTTTTGTCTTTATGGGTGTATTATTCCAGAACACATTTAGAAATATGCTCAGGTTCATTAGAAGTTATTCTGAGCAGGAGGAACTGGGTACAACCACGCTGTCACACAGGCACTGGGCAAATGCACTACCTAGCAACCCGCTCCAAAGGGCTCTGTGCACTGCTTCTCCACAACAGATGCTTCTTCCATATGGTGCTCAGTGAACTACAAGCCTGCATCATAGGTATTAAAACTTCTACAGCTCTAAACTTAGTTTCCTTCTGCATAGATAAACATTACTGCAATAAACTTGACTATATTCTACCTAAATAAAATCAGGAAGCACAGCTCACCAGTAGCTCTGTTGCACTCAAACCCCTGAGTCAAGCTCTAGATTTAATTAGCCAAATACAGAGGCAAAATTAAATTTGCCTTGTTAATTTTATTAGAGAGAGGAGGCTGAGGAGAGGCTCAGCATGATTTGTTTGGACACAATCCAACAACTGAAACAAAAACCCCTTTCAGAGAGGACATATATCCTTAAAGGAAAGGGGTCCGCTGTTTCTTGGTGAAGTTGTAGAGACCCTGAGCCTTACCTGGCTCCTTGGCAGTACCATACCTTGTTGTCGTTCCCTCCAGAGGCCAGGAGCTGGTGGTCTGTAGACCATTTGAGCCCACAGACCTCCTGCCTGTGGCCCTGGAGCCGCCGCTCAGACTGCAGCGGGGGTGTGCGGATGTCCCTCTGAAGGATCATCCGGTCTCGACTCCCAGAAGATAGCTGGTCAGCATTCCATGCTAAGGCACCTGGAATGCAGAGAGAGCACGTTGTGGGAGCCCTGCAGGAGCAGGGAGGCAGAACAGACCCCCCAGTTGCCAAGGTTTTAAAAAGATAAAGAAAAATCAGTGCTGATGGAACCTCCCTTACATCCCTCTGAAGTCCTCAGAGTACAAAGGAAGATTAACCTGCACAAGCTTCCTGAAGGTATCACTCATCCCATTTCATGGTGCAATAAAGCACAGAAATAGAACTTGGAGAGTGCCTTGACTTCCCAAATCTCACTCCAGCTTTCAGATTCACAGCACCTCTGAGCAAAGAAAACAGCCCCCACAGAATAGGGGAACTGGAAATCTCAGTGCAGAGCTGCCTGCCTGCAGGGCTAACACAGGAAGCCAGTGGCAGTGAAAAAAGTGTTGCAACCAAACCTAAAATGCCTCAGAGATGGCAGAAACAGCAGCTGCAAAACTCCACCACCACCACACCCCAGGTCAGAACACCACCGTGATGACATTTTGAAGACTGGGAGACATAGCAGTATCAATTCTGGTTGAGTTCTCTTATTTCAAGCAAATCCCTCACACAGAAGGAGAAAGTTCAATCATGAAGAAACAAAACATGTGAAACCTCTGCCTCCCACCTCCTTACCAACTCTGGCTGTGTGTCCCTCCAGCATGGAGAGCTTTTTTCCTGCAGCTGCATCCCAGATCTGTACAAAGCCCTTGTGAGTGCCAACAGCTACCAAGTTCCCCTAGAGAAACAGAAGACCACAATCAGTAAAGCCAGTAAGTACAGACAGATGTAAACAAAAGCTAGAAGCTGAGGAAAAGACTTGAGATAAATCCCACAAAATGGAAAGCATCCCAAGCTCTTCCATCTCACATCTTTTCCCTACTGAGAGTGCCAAGCAGCCTGGCTGGAATATATTTATTGTAGCATTTTATTGTCAAGAACCAGAGAAGCCAACAGGCTCTTTCTGCCTCCCACACCTCTTTGCAAATACCTCGAGAACCTCAAGATACAAGAGGCTGCTTTCTATCTCCTCTCATTTAGCACGAAAAGCAGCGAGGACAGGAAACCACATTTGATTTGTGATGCATACAGGGAGTTTGGGAAAATACAGGAAAAACAACCTTAGAAATGAAAGCTGTAAGGAAGAGCTAAACAGCTACCAGGAGAGGGTCTAAATTACGAGTTTTTCAGCTACTGAGATTGACAATGTCATACTGACCCGTTCTGACCAGCCCACAGATGTTACAGAATCTCCTTCCACAGACAGATCACACAGCCGGGTTACCTTGGGAGCAGGACAGAATGGAGTTAAGGAACACTTGCTGTTGTCAAACTACACTCTTAACTGTCTCACTGACTAGTACCTAGTTTGGGGCAGAGCACTGTGAGTGCTGGAGCCCTGACACAGCACCTCCTGTAGCTCTGGAAGATGCTACAGCAACGGCTGCCTCACTCTCCTGACACAGATGCTCATTTACCTGGCTCGTACAAGCGCTCCACAAGTAAACACAAGTCCCAAGGCCAACGCTGAGGACGTTCAGAGAGGACCAGTCCACCAGGTTCAGGTAGAAGTCATCCTGCAGCTCTGGGGCATCCAACACTTTGAAAGGAATCTTGGAGATTTTCCGAGTAGGTTTTCGAGGTGATCTGAGCAGCTTCTGACTGTTTACAAAAACAGACATAAAAACAATGACAGGATCTTACACGTGGCAGCAGATGGTACACAACAGATGTAGCCACTCTTCAAAGCATACCTGCATGTCTACAGAAACACATAGAGAGGCTGCAACATTCTTTCCAGACTGGAAAGAATTAGATTCTGCTGCTATAAAGGAGCTGGTGAGCAAAGAGGTAAAACTGACTACTGCAAGGTGGCCAAGACAGATCTAGGCATGATGGGCACCTGCAGAGCTTCTTCTAACTTGACTGTCCCTACTTACTATTTCCTCAGATTCTTAAAACCACTTCTTGGTGCCTTAATAAAAAGCCCTAGAGAACACAGTGACTCCTCTGTCCCAAGCCTTCCCTTCTCACTGTCTGTGGAGAATCAGTATTACCTTTTGTTGCTGACAGGAGACAGGGAATACGGTGAGACCTCGTTGCCATCATCTGGACTAGAACGTTTTGTGCTGAGCGAATACTGCATAAAGAAAACACATCCAGTAAGAGCCCCATCGGACACACTGGTGCCCGATGCCTGGCTAACTCCAACAGCCACAGCCAGATTTTCCAGACTTTCCAGTTCCTCCCTTTCCCAGGTGCTCCAGAACCACACAAAAAAACCTCATCTCTGCTAAGTCCTGAAGTTTGATTTGGTCATTTACCACACTGCCCAAAAACGCTTGGTTCCAACTCAGCTTTCGGGCCAGCACAGAAATAGGAAGTATGTAGCTTGCTGCAGATCCTTCTGTTCTCCTTGCAGGCCACCCAATTTTGTTATCAACAGCTTATCTCAGGCAAGGCACAGCACTACCTCACTGGCCCCAGCAGCTTGGCAGAACCAGGTGCTTTGCTCCAGTGACACACACATGAAACCTCTGTTGGTTTTAACACCACGTAACCCACTTACAGTGAAGAGAGACTTCTTCTCTGGGGTGGATGGCTGCAGCCTCCTGTCTTCTGTCTGTGGGTCTTGCACCTTCTCAATCCCTGCTCCTAAGAGCTCGTTCTTCAACAAGGCAGAGTAGGCAAGGCCATCTGTGAACCCAAATGTGTGCTTAGGCGGGGAGCTGGGCGGCAGCAAACAGCTCCACAGGGAGCAGCAGGATCACACTTGTACATTCACAGGGCCTCTTACTAAGCCTGGAGCCACAGTTTGGAATCAAAATTAGCAGCAAGCTCCCCCTCCTCCCAATCCATCAGGAAAGTGCTTCCAAGGCACAACAATCAAGAGATACAAACAGCCTCACGCTTCCCAGACGCTTGTCAGGAGCCTTTGAGGCTGACCCGGGATTCACTCTTGTGATGAGGGCATTTCCTAACACATCATCATGAGTTTTTCCATAAGCACTGAAGTATCAGTGTTCCCTCAATTTCCAAACATGCCAACAGAGCTTGGAGCAAAAGCTGAGCACGGTACAAGTGTGGCCTCACCTTTGCCATTGTCTGATGTAGCATCCTTTGCTTTTCTGTTCTGACTTGGCGATTTTTCATTTTCCTGAGAGAGAGAAACACACTTTCACCACACACAAACATCATGACACGTGGTAAAACAGCAAGTGAAGAAGTCTCCTGGACCACAGGGGCAGCCTGTCTGAAGACATGCACTCAAAGGAACTCTTTCAGGGCAGCAGAAGACAAGTAGAGCAATCATTCAGCCCTTTCCTCACTCCCAAGGCTGCGCTGCAGGAGAGGGGAGGAAAACTTACATTTATTCTGTGGAAGTTGATACTCCAGTTGGCCCCAGCTCTTGAGGGAATGAATCTGTCACCATGCTTACTGGGAGAAGACATGGGAGAATTGGAAGGCGTCAGGGTTCTTCTCATCTCTGCTACCTGAATTAAAAAGACACATATGAGAACAAGTGTTGATCGCAGCAGGGGTCTGAAAAACATCAACAGGGTCTTGTCAAAGCTGACTACGCCAAAGGAGAAGAGCCAAGCACTAGTTTATCCCCTTCACAGAACCATTGAGCACGTCAGAGTCCAACTGTCAAGGGAATATCTGTCAAGAGAAGCAGAACAGCCTCTTCCTCAGCGCTCCCTCTCAAAGCGACTCTGTCACAGCAGACCCGAGGAAGGTGGAGCAGTTTCTTAACTCCTTGTTGTTGAAGTGCTTTGGTTGTTCTAGAACAGCTCAGGAACTCACACCTGCTCACAGCCCAACAGAACACTACGGTTTGCTTCAAAGAGATCCCATGTCTTTTAAAAGCTCAAGTGAAGGCAGTCACAGGCAAGAAAACTCCCTAGTCAGACCAAGAGCACTCAGCAGAGCCCATCTGTACTCACACAAGGCATCGTGTTCTCATTCTGTATGTTGATTTGGCGTAAGAGACGTCTCTCGTAATCCTGGTCCATGGTGGAAAGCAGAAGGGTTGGGGAATCCAGCAGGCTCAGGATTTTATGCTCATCAAGTCCAATCAGCAATTAGTCTGCTGCAACAGAGAGGCGAAGAAAACCACGGGATTATTACACCCTTTCATATAGAAGCAGCCTCTTCCCAGCCTCTGTCTGTTACTTAAACCCAAGAGCACTTTTCCTACCCACAGCAGTGCACACCACAGTGCTCACGCTGCCTGGGGTAACTTCTAGCCATGTCAGAAGTCCTGCAACCTCTTAGTACCACACGGTGCTATGGACTAGGTAGCCCCTTGGGTTAACATCCAAGGTTTGATGCACATGCTCTCCCAAATTCTCCTCATGCTTTGCCCGTAGGTTATGCTGACGCAAACACCAGAAGAGAGGTGCCAAGTTGGTCTTTGAACCCAAGACAAACATCTCCTAAGGGAAAGGTGGAATCTTAACACACAGGCCTCAGCTTCCTCTGCCACAGGAGAGGTTTGCTGCAGAGAGGGACAAAACACCCAGCCAGGGTCTGCTACTGGGAAGTGGCACCAAGCTCAGA